CCACCTATTGTTTGCAAAACAAGTGGAATAATTCTCATGGCTTTCAATAACTAAGTGCTTATGTATATATGCATGTGAGTGTGTGCTATGAAAATATTACATGCACTCACATGCATATATACATTATTCTGAATTAAGGACAAGGAAGGATCTTTAGTGATTAAAGTTACATATTTAGGTTACAAAGGAGCCCACAGCCTAGTAAGCTTGTTTACATTATAAACAAGCTGAGATAATCTTAAATGATCTCAAAATATAAGATCAACCTTTTGGTTACAAGGTTAGGTGAAAGTCATTTGCTAGAAGTCATCTCAATAGCCTTGGAGAGGCTGAAGCAGTAACGGAGTGCTTGGGGTTACTCAGATATCTGGAAGCATAGGAGCAGAGCAGCACCACCTACACTCCTGTCTGTGGTCCCAGAACTTGCTGAGTAGCTGAGCTGGCTCAGGATGCTAGAACAAAACAACCATCCTTGCTCCACCCTCATAGAGAGCCCTGGTGTGACAGCTTATGGAATTTGAAACTCTTGTACTGCCGTTTCCAGATAAATATATTGATGTGGAAAAGGGTGGAGGTTAGGGAGTGTTAGGCATGACAGCCCCTTTCTAGGATGCAATTAATCTGAACTGAAAGAAGAGTCCTGTCCCTTATTTTTCCCATTAGCTCCAGTCTCAAGATTACTGAATGGATGGTCATGATTCACTGGATACCGGTGCTATAAAGAGTCTGACTGCTGATCTATAACATAGTGTCTGACCATTCAGGTAGGAAATCATGAAAAAAAGCTACCCAAGGAATTAGAGAGAGCTTTTAAAACCTAGAAAGTCTTTCTACATAGAACAGTCCATCAGGCTATATAACACAGGTAACCCTGCCAGAGGGCAGATCCTGTGACCTCTTTTAGGCCCTTCCACCTCGGAAATGATTCTCTGTACCTATTATCATGTGAGTCTACTGGACTGTTATTGCATGAATCCACAGGTCTATGATCCTATGAGCTTGTATCCAAAGGGGATAAATGGGTGGAGGCTCTGGAGACTTTTGGGAATATTCCCATGACTCATCTTGGCACTGGCACCAATCTTCTGACTCCTCCAGCTCTGCCTTCCAGCCTGTAAAATGGGTGGAGCATAGCCCACCCACGTGTCTGCATGGCACATGGACTCAGTATCTCTCACCAGTGATGTTGGTGCCACCTGAAAATGTCAAAACCATTAGTGGGAACCTCACCTCGAAGGGCAGGAAGCGAGCCAATCAGAGCTCACAGCCGACCTGAGACACACAGATTGGCTAACCACAGGATCGCTTTAACCACAGGATGAGAGGCACTCATCTGGTCTGTGCTCTCAATATAATATATCCCCACATCTTCACTCATACTTTCATTAGGTTAATGTCTCCAAGGTCCCAAGAGGACATATTGAGATTAAGTCCATAGTTACCAATTACTAAGAATTACAAACTAGTGGGAATAACTCCATGGGGAGACAGGCTGTGGAAATACACATTTTCTGTGTAGAACAGGCCCTCTACAGTCATAGAATGGCATAGCCAGAGGGGCTGAAGAATCTCAGGACAAGAGCTCAGTTCCCTTCATTTATGCTCTGAAAAATCTCTGTCCTATTCTAAAAGTTGGCCTTCTATGCATTCTCACTGCTGTAAAGTAGGGCGATCTCATCCTACATACGACATAGAGGCTGTACAACCAAAACAGATGGACTTGTGGTGGAGGAATAATACAATTTGAAGTATCTTATGCCTGGTTTCAAAACTTGATTTTATTCTTTTTAGTTCTGTGAGTTTGTATAATATGTTTGCTCTTTTCTTTGAGCCCTTCTTATGAAGACTAAGCTGACAAGTTGTTCCTATGAAGTTTGATTTCCAAGGAAAACTGCTTCTTTCTCCTTCTTTCCATGAAAGATCAGGCCTGGAAAACACCTGAGGTGGGCACTGAGCATCTCAGGAATGTAAAATCTTGAACTAGTATTCTTTTTCACTTCTTCCTCTTGGGTGAGAGACTGGTTAGCTTCATAGAGGAGGCTGTGCAGTGTGGCAAGACCATTCATAGAGGAGGCTGTGCAGTGTGGCAAGACCATTCATAGAGGAGGCTGTGCAGTGTGGCAGCCCCTTCATAGAGGAGGCTGTGCAGTGTGGCAGCCCCTTCATAGAGGAGGCTGTGCAGTGTGGCAGCCCCTTCATAGAGGAGGCTGTGCAGTGTGGCAGCCCCTTCATAGAGGAGGCTGTGCAGTGTGGCAGCCCCTTCATAGAGGAGGCTGTGCAGTGTGGCAGCCCCTTCATAGAGGAGGCTGTGCAGTGTGGCAGCCCCTTCATAGAGGAGGCTGTGCAGTGTGGCAGCCCCTTCATAGAGGAGGCTGTGCAGTGTGGCAGCCCCTTCATAGAGGAGGCTGTGCAGTGTGGCAGCCCCTTCATAGAGGAGGCTGTGCAGTGTGGCAGCCCCTTCATAGAGGAGGCTGTGCAGTGTGGCAGCCCCTTCATAGAGGAGGCTGTGCAGTGTGGCAGCCCCTTCATAGAGGAGGCTCTGCGGTGTGGTAAGACATTACACAGGGATGAAAGGAAGAATCAAGACACTTTTCAGACCTGGAGCAGAGCTTCCCCTTTTACTTCCTCCCAGTTCTTCAGAGGTAGACCTTGTAAGACCTGGTGTGGGTTGTGGCAGGGTCTGTGAACTAGTAGTATTTTGCATTTGCTTTAGGGTATGTGGGAACTTAAGACTTTATGGGCCCCAGGGAACTGAGTATCTATTGTGGACCAATTTAGGACTACCTTTCGTCTGAGGGGCCACAGGGATTGTGTGAGGCCTGGGCTGGATGATCTGAGGAAGTGACATTTGAAAACAGGGCCAGGTTCAGGCTTAATAGCCTCTTGTAATGGACACCCACCCACTCATCTCATGGCCCAGTAAACATGGGCCTTGGAGCTAGATGAGTCTGAGTTCTGATAATACTCTGTTACCCACTGATAATAGTGACTGTGGTGGGATATGTAGAGCCCTGGGTCTTGTTTTCCTTATAGCCTACCTCATAGAGTTATTCAGAAGAAAAAGCATGGGTACAAACCAAGACAGTATTCAATACACAGCAAGAGATACTCCTGCCTCTCTGTCTACATCTCCTGCATCGAGGAAAGAAAAGGTTGTGGAATTCAAAGCCAATGCTCCATTCAAGTATGAAAGACAGCTTATGTTAGTGATAAAGATCGTCTCTGTGAAAGCACACTGCCTGCTTTTGAATTCTGGTTTAGCCACTTACTTATTTTGGATACTGAGTAACTCCCCTTATCCTTCAAGGTCCCAGTTGCATCCATCTATATCTGTCTCATAAACTGGCACATTCAACTAAATGCTAGACTCTATCAGTGTTATCACTCACTGTCTTTGTGGCTGAAACTCCTCCAATCCCAAGTTCCTGGACTGTAATCCTAGAAGTTAAGTCTAGGAAGGTGACTAGAGGGGAGGCCATAGCCATGAGAAGCTGAGGGGAGACTGTGCAGATCTAAATCCTGGGGTTTGGAATCAATGAACACTCATCCAGTTTCCCAAATGAATGTAGTTTTCTAAATGAATCTGATGGTTTATGAAACAAAACATTTCTTGGAGACCTTCCTGCCATACGGAGCCAGAGACCAACAAGTCAAATTCTGTATCTGACAACTCACATCAGCATAAACTACCACCAAAATTCTCAGATTAGGATGGAAAGATACAATATTTTTTGGCATAGTATGGGAAAAATTGAGAGTCTAATCATATCTTGGACAAGTTCTAGAATACCTAAGTACCCTAGAATGAGCTTTATCAGGTTTAGATTGCATAGGAATGTCTCAAAGCTTCTAGGAAAAGATGAGTTGTTTCATGACGCAGGTGGCCATTTATCTCATATTTAGGAAAATTCAGTGTCAAGTAGAGACATGCCCTGCCTCTGACTGAACAGCCAGACATACTGGGGAGGAATCTCACCAATGCAATGCCAGCCTTGCCCTCGTGGTATCTTGTGCTTCATTTAAATGGCATTAAATTGCCTCACTGCTATGCTATAAAAGGTGTCCATAAGCCAGATCCTCAGATCCTTGACTTCTTCCAGTCTTGTTCCTGCTAGAAAAGAAGGTAAGTCTCTTTACCTGAGATAGGAACTTGGCAAGAAATAGAGTCTAGGTGATGTTGGGGTGGAATGCTGTGGGATGAAGGGTGAGCCAGGACTAGACACTGATGACATCTGTGAAGGAGGAGGATGACATTGCTGGAGGGAAGCATGGATTCTGGGGCCAGAGGGAAGAAAGATGAGAGCTGAGCCAGTGGTTCTACGTGGGGTTGGATGATAGAGAACTGGATTTCTTACCCACTTCTGTGAGGGCATTTGTGTAATCCTTTCTTGGTTCTATTGACTAATACAGTGAAATGATACCCAGTTGATCTACAGAAAAAATGTTGGAAACATCGAGCCTTGAGTCTGATTTTTGCAGTCCTGTTCATCTTTGAGACTCATTTTAATGAGTTATTGGCAATAGACTTAGTCTTTTGACAAATGTGCCTTCCTGAGAATTCCCTGAATTGTACAGAGTGAGAAGGAAAGCCATGGTCTAGAGAGCTAGTGGCCTGGGTGAACTACTGTGCAATAATGCAAGGTTGGTTCACAATGCAGGTGCTGAGTGAGAAGAGAGGACGCATAGGGAGCTGGGTAGAGATGTAGAATCACTGTTTCAACTCTCCACTTCCTGTTGTGGAAAATAGGGACTCAGAGGTTAGTGGTGATTTGTTTGAAATCACACAGTCAGTTAAAGGCACAAGCAGTGAACCTAGAATCCTTGGTTCTGCATCTACCTCACTGCCGGATGGATAGCCTCTGGATGCTAGGACCTTCTAAAAATATGTCTTTCAGGTCACTCTATCCAATGAGGGTGATGCTGCAGGGTTCCTGGGAACCTTCCAGGACTCACAGTTTCAATTAAATCTTTCTTTTCAGACTTTTCAAAACATCAGCAAGATGTGTGACCAGCAGAAGCAGCCACAGTTCCTTCCATCTTGTGTGAAAGGTTCAGGAGTAGGGACTGGACTGGGGGCTGGACTGGGGGCTGGATTGGGGGCTGGGCAAGGTACCAGTGGTGCCTCTGTGAAATACCAGACCCAAAGTGTTTATGCTCCAGGGCCTGCTCCCTGCCAGACTCAAACCTTTGTGAAATGCCCAGCTCCAGTCCCAGCTCAAACATATGTCAAATACCAAGTTCCATACCAGACCAAAACCTATGTGAAGTGCCCAGCTCCCTGCCAAACCACCTATGTGAAGTGCCCAGCTCCATGTCAGACGACCTATGTGAAGTGCCCAGCTCCATGTCAGACATATGTTAAGTGCCCACCGCCATGTCAGACATACGTGAAGTGCCCAGCTCCCTGCCAGACGACCTATGTCAAGTGTCCAGCTCCCTGCCAGACGCAGACATATTATGTCCAGTACCAATCTCCTTCCCAGACCTACTACACTCAAGGTTCTTCAAGTGGCTCTGGTTCCCAGGGCTGTGCCCCTGACCCGTGCTCTGCTCCCTGTTCTACCAGCTACTGCTGTCTGGCTCCCCGGACCTTCGGGGTGAGTCCCCTGAGACGCTGGGTCCAGCGACCCCAAGGATGCAACTCAGGATCTTCTGGCTGCTGTGAGGATTCTGGGTGCTGCAGCTCTGGGTGCTCTGGCTCTGGGTGTTGCAGTTCTGGATGCTGCTGTTTGGGAATTATTCCCATGAGGTCCCGAGGTCCTGCATGCTGTGATCATGAAGATGATTGTTGCTGTTAAACACAAAAGGACAGACCTGCTCCAGAATTCATTGCATGATATTACTTCTGAAACGTCCCCCAGCCTCTGGTCCCTTGCCTGTTCTTCCCAGCAACATAGACCCTTACACTTCATCTCCATCCTTTGCTTCTCTATCAAGTCACCCTGCCAGAGTTAGCGCAACTCCCAAACTTTGGCAAGAATAAAACTCTGAATGCATGGTGACTCCTGTTGACTTCTGTGATCTGTGTTTGTGTTTTCCCATTAGAAACCCTCTGTTTCTCTTCTTGTTCTGGATTTTCAACTACTAGTTGAAGACCTAAATGGACATAGAAAGTAGATCATGCTGGTGAACTCCCAGCCTGGGATTCCCACATCTTCTAGAATGCTGTGAATAAACTTCAAGTGAGTTAGCAGGATGTAAGTCTGTAGACTTTGGGTTTGAGGGATGCCTCTTTCCTTTCCTCTGATTAATCTGAAAGGGGTTTTATCATAAGACCTTCATGGAAACATTGTTGCATGCAATCTTTGAGTTTCTCTTCCTGGATGCTGAAGAGATTTTGAAATCCAATCTCAGGAGCATCATAGGATGGTGCTGATGCTGTGAAAGTGTTGTGAATTCATGGAGGACTTTGTGGGTTACATTTTATTATTTAATAGGCTTTCCTTCTTGAAGCCATTGGGTACAGGCTTGAAGCAGAGGCAAGCACTGTCCTGAAGTGGAACAATACTGCTTAGGTCAGCTCTGATGGAGAAGATCTCCAAGAGGAAGGAAAACCTTGTGCGACAAGCATCTAAGCTCCAAGCCCAGCATCTCGCGGTCAGCACTTGGCTAACAATGGGTGATTCTGAATGACCTTTTATAGCTAAAAATTCTAGAATTATATGCATGAAAAATACACAAAAGGGAACTGGAGAGAGCTCAGTTGTTAAAATGCTTGCTGTGCAGTCATGAGGAACTGAGTTTGATTCCAAGAATTCCATACAAAAATCCTGGGCCTAATGGTGTGCATGGTGAGTACTGGTAATCCCAATAGTGGGGAGTGTAGCCAGGTTAGCCTACTGAGTCTCAGACCAGTGAAAGACCCTGTCTCAAAAGTCAACCAACGAACCAAAAAAAAAAAAAAAATCAAGAAACAAACATCAAGGTGAATGACACCTTAAGAAACAGCATCCAAGGTTGACCTCTGGCCTCCAAAAGCATGCACAGGCAAACTTGTTCACCTGCACACATGTAAACATGCACATTCAAACTACACTGAGGGATACCTGCCATACAAAAGAACCTTCAGGCCTGGTACAAAGGAGACAATGTATTTGGTGAATGCATAAATGAGTGGCTGGGAGTGAGCAGGGAGCAGTGCTTCTAAAGCAATCTCTGCTCTGCCCTGGGACATTAGCAGGAACTTATCTAGGTATCTTGTGTGCCTTGTTGTCTTTGAATGATTAAAGGCCTCAAACTCCTTAAATCATGTGCCTTCCCTCCATCCGATCCCATTAAACTTGCATCTGGACCATTTGCCGTTCCCCTGGGAGCCAGAAATAGTCTTGTTCAAGGCAGGTCTTGTGTTCTTCTTGTACCATCAAGTGATGCCTACAAAGCAGGAAGACAGAGTGCTGCTTACTCTGTGGGTACTATGAGCATGTGATGCTTTTCTATGCTAAGAAGTGTTTAAAAATTACAGAAGTAGGACGGGCCATACAAAAATGTTACTATTCTCAAGTATGTTATTGTGAACATAACCAAATACATGGCTAGAGAGGTCATAGATCTTAGAGAAAACCCCAAGAATGTCACAGCCCTAGACTAATTTCTTACTAGGTGCAAAATATGTACCCTTATATTTACAGACAAATAATATCCCAGTCACCACTCATCAAAGAAGCTTCTTTTGCACTAGATGGAGACTATTACCAAGTACCACAACTAGTCACACACAGACATTGTTTATGAATTTCCCAGGCCTAAGTGACACGTCTACAATGCAACCTCTACACCTAAGGCTCACGGAACATAGAACAGGGGTAAAGAGGTCACTAATGAATCTCTCAGTTCTCATTAATGAAGCTCCCTCATGCAATAGAGGACCAGGAACACAAAAGGTCAGAACTGGCCACAGCATGGAGATTAAGACTCTGCAGAATGCTGGTCCTTGGACAGGACTCCTATATTAAGCTTCACCCACCCAGGGCTCAGGGAGCATTATGGAAGAGGGAGCAGAAAGATTGTAAGAACCAGGGAAGAGGTGCACGATCCTATGGAAACTGAGTCCTGCAAGCTTCTGCGACCCTGCTCATATGAGTCTGTAGCAACGGTGTCAGTGTACACAAATCCCATGCAAACTCAAGCAGACAAAACCCCAGCATAGAACTGGGGAAATGGATAGCAGACCACAATCTTAACTGATGGAATACTGGCAACTGATTACTGCTAGGTGAGGAAGAGCTGATCTTCCTAAAATGAGGGACTCTAGATAAGCTGACTAGACCTCAGTGGATGACTTGTACTGAGGACCATCTGGGGGCACTAACTTAACACAATAGGCCTTAACATAAATGACAGAATGTATCAATTCAAGTGGGGGGCTATGGGAAGGTGTCAAAAGGGACAGGGGGTCAGTTTAAAGGTGATTAAGATTGATCAAGATATTCTACATAAAATACACAAAAATTCAATAAAAACAAAATTTAAAATGTTACTATTACAGAAGCTATAGGACAAAATTAAACATCATAGCTCAACTTTCAATTCTAAACTTCTTTTCAGGGATGACCTTATTCAGTCTGGATTCACTCCATCTCTGCCTTTCTCTAGACATTGCTTATTCATAAGCATTGCAGAGCTAAATAAAGCGCTTCAATCTCTGCAGAAAATAGCACCCCAAAGCCAAGTCCAGCACAGATACCTCACAAAGTACTGCAGGAAATCCACTTCAGAACAAACTTCAGAAGCTCTCATTTTCCATTTTAGTTCCATCTAGGGCCCTTTTCATCGTTACAGCCCACAGTTGCTCAGTAGCCTCCATATGCTCCGTCGGGGTACCATGGCTCCTCTACTGTCTTGTGTCTTTCTCCCTAACCCTCCTTGTCCTTTCCCACCAAGGGGGCTATGTAGGTAAGCTGAGTCTTTTGAATCCTTTGCTAAGTTTCTTTATACTGTACCCAATCTTGTTATTCTCTTATCCAGATGAGGTGACCCAGGACTTTTCTTTGGCTGTTTTCAAATCTCAACCTCTCTTTTTCCTCCTTTCCCTCCTTCTCTCCCTCCCTTCCTCCCTCCCTCCCTCCCTCTGGCCCTATCTCTCTCCCTTCCTTCTTCCTCGCTCTCTAATTCTGTTTAGGAGGGAGAGAAAGAATTATAAAACTTTAAAGGCAAAAATAATTGTCTTTAGTATGAGTGGAGGAAACACAGGGAGAAAATAGGTGGTAATAAATCTCATTTGATGGTCTACTTTTTAATATTTTCCATTTCTTATGCCAGATAATGGTATTTACTTCTATATGACCTGGCAAAAAAAGTAGAGGGCACAAACTTGGGTGTAGGGAAGAGAGGGTGGACCTAGTAAGAGTTGGGGGAGTACAGTGTGAATATGATAAAAAATACTATATTAAATTCTCAAAAAACTTAATAAAAATTTAAAAATTAAACAAATAAAATCCCACAATGATAATCCCTTGGACTGGAGTTACTGATGTTGTGAACTGCCATGTGGGTACTGGAAACAGAACCCAGATACTCCTCAAGAACAGCCAGTGCTCTTAACTGCTGAGCCATCTCCTCAAAGCTTTCTCCTTTTTGGTTTTTAAGTGTTACCCACATTTACATTCGCATATATATGTATATTCATACATAAGTGTATGTAAATTACAGGCTGGGATCCATTTATGAAAGAAGATATCTGGTTTTTATCTTTCTGAGTATGAGTCTCTTACTTAATATTATATTTTCCAGATCAATCCATTTTCCTGAAAGTATCTTGTATTCCCTGTCTTAGTGTAGTAAGTAAATATTAAATGCTAATTTGGATAGTACATATAATTGTGTTCTATCCGGCTCTTGTCTTCTAATATCCCATAGTGTGTCTAGTCAGTTTATATAACAAGACTCTTGTTGTTGCCATCTTTGAGCTCTCTCTATCTCTCTCTCTTTCTCTCTCTCCTTCTCTCTCTCTCTATTTATTTTCAAGTTTCTCTTAAGGCCTCTAGAATGTGTTCAAACTTTATACTGAAATATTCTTCCAGAAAAACACAGATGCTACATATGTTATTCAATGAACACTCCTGTGTAACTACCACCTATATCTAAGAAAGTTGTAATTTTCAAGGCAAAGTCCCTGACCCCCATGAAGTAGGGAACTGAGTTTGGAGACACAAGATGGCATAGAACAGAAATAATTTTCACAACCTGAATCTTCATAAACTCCAGGTATGTGTTAGAAGGACATGGAGAAAAGACAATGCAGTGTCTGGCCTCCCAAGGCACATGAAATGAGTTCCCAAGAGTTCCTCCCAATAGACCCCAAACTGGACACTAAGTACCCCCTGTCTTACAGAGACTTCAGGAGACTGAACAGTCTGAGGCCAGGGCTCATGAACCTGAACATTCTGAAAAGATTATAAGCAATTCACATGTCAGATTCTCAATAATTCCTCTATTAAACAGACATTGAAATGTATTTGTCCCAGGTACCGCTTGTATGGTTTTGGGATTTATAGGAGAAAGAAAGATGGAGAGCAAGTGTGTGTGTGTGTGTGTGTGTGTGTGTCTAAGAGATAAGTATGTGTGAGAGAGTATGTAACAGTATGTGCATGAATAGAGAGAACACATAACCTAATGGTCTAATAAACTAATGGAAAGATTCATCTGCAATGATAACTTTGAATGAGGGGTTCCAAGCACGCTGTAATTTTTTCTGATTAGGGATTTTGAAAAAGACATTCCTGAGAAAGTGAAGCTTGGTACTGGATGGGAGTTAGTTACAGGGCTCTGTGGAAGGGAGCTCAACAAGTACAAGGGTTTG